AAAATAGCAGTTGAAATGTTTCACAAAGTTTAAAAAGTGTTTTTGTATCTGAGGAAGGTACCATCCAAATGTCACAAAATCCAAGGAATTTGCTACATGAGGGCAAATTAGAGAAAGACATCAGGAGCTATCTTGTGTTTGTTTCCCACGAGAAAGAGGAGCGTCCTCATAGAAGTTTAAAAAAAAAAAATCATCCTAGACTTAAAGGATTAGAAGAGGCTGGAAGCAGGGGTGAGCTGTGAGGACGCAGAAAGCCGGTATGCCGGCCTCTAACAGTTCAGTGTTCTTCACTGTTGCCACCCTCCCAGGAAAGTTTGTGAGGCAACACCAACAAAAAGTCAGCTGCACTGATGGGTAGAGGGTCTTCTCCCCTGAATTCATAGAGGCACTTCCCTAACAAAGAAGATGGCAATGTCAAGAGTAGCTCTGTCTAACCAAGCCTGGAAGCTCTTGCAACCATAGAAAAGTAACGCAGTGAATTACATTTCTGCTAAGAAGGTTCAAAGCCCCACTTTCCTTTCCTTTCTCCTTTAGCTCTTGGGTCACTGAATTGGAATTGGAAACTACTTCAGCTTAACATTTGTGAGGAAGATCTGCATCCCAGTGGGATTTAAGAGCATTCAAGAAGCTAACCACTCTCTTAATGGAAAATACAAAATGAATAACTCTCATTTGTATTTAAACATAAACATCAGTCCTTTTTGTAATACATAAGGACATAGAAAAAATGATTAATGTGATTTAGAAGGTTGGTCTATCACGTAACTATTATTCTCCATGTGCCTTTTTTCATAGCAGCACAGAGCAGAATTTGTTGAATCCACATTACATGATAACAGTGCAATAAAACTATAAATTATTTATAAAATATAATTAACTCTCACCAGAAAAATTGAAAATTTAAAAGCAGTACTCTAAATAATTCTTGGATCTAAGAGAAAAAAACAATTCACTGGATAATTAATTAATTGCAATTATTAGTGCCGATAAGTGGTATTTGTAAGGTGACCAATTTCTAACTATAGCCTCAAACTACCGCCCCACTGAAACTATAACAACAACAACAAAAGTAATAAACCATAATGGAGAAGTATTCATAAACAGACTTTAAGAAACTTATAAGAAGGAAGAACTTAACATATGGACAATAAGAAAAACATGCTATTCCACACAAAGAGGATGAAGGAGAAATATGATAAATGGGAAATCACTCCCACTATTTGAATAGAAAACTAAATATAAAGATGATGATAATTTTTGCCAGATTAAATCCAAAATTTGATGTAGATTGTCTGTAAATCCTAACAATAATAGTTTGGGATTTGAAAACAATTCATTAATTTGGAAGAAATAGTACTGAGTAATGTGAGATTCTTTGCAATAGCAGCAGCAATAACAGCAATAACACACGACTATACAGGAAAACAAACTCTGGAGGAAATATTTGCAAAATGGATATGCAAAAAATTTATGTTCGTATGCACATAAAGATGACAACAATAAATACTGGGGACTACCAGGTGGGGGAAAGTGAAAGGGGGCCATGGGTTGAAAAACTACTTATTGGGTATTATGTTCACTGCATGGTGATGGGATCATTTGCACACCAAATCTCAGTGACATGTAATTTACTCATGTAAGAAACCTGCATATGTACTTCCTGAATCTAAAATAAAAGCTGGAAAAAATGATTGATGTTTGTAATACACAAAGAGTTCTTACAAATCAATAAAAAGGCAAACATCATAACAGAAGAATGTACATTGTATAGCAGGAAATTCACAAAAGGAAAGTTTGCTGCTAATCTTGAAAGCTCTATCCTTGCCACTACTTTTCAATTACTAAAATATCAAATAAAGAAAGAATTGGTGGAAATTGTGAAAATAGTGCAGGCACATAGGCCTTTCAGTCATTATTGATGACATTGTTCGTCCCACCTCCTTTTTAAAAGAACATTTAGAAATATGTATAAAAAGCTTCTAAAAATTCATAGCAATTCCTATTCCAGGAATGCGTCCTAAGGGAATAGTCAAAAATATGTGTAAAAATGATTATAAGTAGTGTTTAAAGTAGCTTTATAATCACAAAATAATAGAAATAGATCAATATTTAACAATAGACGTTGATGAACTGAAATTTAGTAAGACTATTAGAATGTTTTATGTGTTACTGAAGAGTCTTTTAAATTTAATGATATGGGAAAATAGTCACAATACATTTCTAAATTAATAAAGTTGGATATTAAGTGCTACCTTTAGTAAGAATTTAGTAAAAAATACTTGGAAATCTATTAAAATGTTAACTAGTAGCCTTCTCTGAGTAGTGAAACTATGATAATTATTTTCTTCTTTGTATCCTTTAATTTTTTCAAGCTTTGGATAATCTATCTAAATACTATCTCCATATTTAGGGAAAATACAATACATATTAAAATATATTTGTTTTTATACTAAAAAGCTGACATTGTAATATAAGAATATTTTGATATTTTAAAAAATACCTTAAAGTATCATTATATCATTTGAGTGAAAAGAAAAAGCTTATTCTCTAAGAAATTTTCTATGTGTGACAATTCCATTTTGCAACTAATGCTGTGAGAACTGACAATCACCTTTGCCTCTAGTGGTCACCTTTATCCATTGGTAAAAGACAGGAGCCTTAGAGGATGAAGGGCTAAATAGAGAGAGGCAACAAAGTGATGTGTCACATTGCTGAAATGGGAGTCTCAGCATGCACAGTCCTCTTTTACTATGGGTGGAAAACAGTTGGGGTTAGACACCAGCCAAGTTCTTGCTTTTAAGTTTCAGTTTCAGAAGAACATCTGAGAAAAAATGACCAAGTGAAGCCTTTTCTGGTTTCACATGTAGTAAGTCCTTGATACTTAGGCTAGCATTCCACTCATGCTGAACCCGAAATAGGCAACACCTAACTATACAGGCTCTCATCTACTTCCAAAGGCTAATCCTCCAGGGGCAAGCCAGCAGACGTGGGAAAATGGTGATAACATCCCTGAGACAGAGGGACTACAAGCTTCACTATCATTTCTGAGTGAGTTTTAATTTTCAGAAGATGTTAGTGTCGTTTGGCTTCTTATAGTAGTCTTTTGGTTCAGTAGCTGCTAATTGCGTAATTATTGTTTATTATTAATATTGTAGACTATATTTTTATACCCTGTGGACTACTTGGACACAATTTTGATGTCTTAGCACTGATGGAATAAAGCTTCATGTAATTGCCAAATAAATTCATATGTAAAACCTAAAACATTGCTTATTTGAACTCTCTAGATATACAGTATTCACATTATACTGGAAGGAAGAAAAGGAAGGAAGGAAGGAAGGAAAGAAGGAAGGAAAAAGGGAGAAAAGGAAAGAAAGGAAGAAAGGAAAGGATGATATTTGACTCATATGTATTATGTTTATCAAGTTTCTAAAATGAAAACTTGATAGCAAATCCAACTATTACATCATTGTCATGAGTCAATATCATCTCTAAACTCTTATTGTAAAAACCTTTTGTTGTATTGGATAAATGAGGAAAACTGACGTTCAAATATTTTTAAAAGAGAATATATTTGAACTATATTATTCCCCTTTTTCATTTCTGTTTGTCCTCTTAATATTGTTAAGTCAAAATTTTCCCTCCAAAACCGATTTGAGGCAGGTATTCCACTATTTGTTTCCAAATACAGAGGAGTCAGTAAGTAATTACCCCTTAGTAGTTCACCTTAAAAGAAGCAAGAAACCGCATTCTAGTTCTGTTTTCTCAAAGTAAAGTCGTTTTATCTGCTGTAACAGAATATCGGGGGAGGAGATGAAGGAAGGAAGGAAGGAAGGAAGGAAGGAAGGAAGGAAGGAAGGAAGGAAGGGAAGAAAGGATAAAAGGGAGGGAAAAGGGAGAAAAGGAAAGAAAGGAAGAAAGGAAAGGAAAGAAATTAGTTTCAGAAATACCATGTTCTTATCCCAGAAGACAGATCTAAGTCTAGTGTTATTTGAAATAACTTGTTAACAAGGAGGTGATATAATGGTAATGTCAGGGATTTATGGGATTTATGATATGGGTCATCAGATGATAAGCAAGGGTTGTAGAAAGGGAATTGTCAGAAACTAAAGACAAACTTAATTGACTTTACACTTTGGCCTAGAATCATACCACATTGGGTGATGACACTTAGAAATGCCCATTATCATCATCATCATCATCATCGCTGGTATTTATTAAGTGCCTAGACACTTGCTAGTAAGTGGAAGATGAAGATGCTCTCTCTCCATATTATTTCATTTAATCATCTCAAGAACTATTGAGTAGATAACTCTTTTTGACAGATGGGTAAACCAAGGCATTGGCTTAGGCCAAAGCAATTGCTCAATGTGATATGGTTAGTATGTAATATGAGAATTGAATTTAGGTCTCTGTGATCCTGAAGTCTATGCTAATAACCAACTACAGATAACAGAAATTTCTACAATAGCTTTTACTGTCAAATTTATAGGAATTGTGTAATAGCTTTTTTGCTTCTGTCCACATGGAGTGAATATTGGGGTCAAATCACTAAAATCTACTAATGGATGAAATGCTCATAGTGTAGTCAGCTCTAGTAGTTTTAGTAATTTAAAAAAGCAGTGATGATTGGTGTCATAAAAGCCATAGCACACATTCCTAGAAGGGAAAATGCAACTAAACTGCTTTTTTCAATCATTTCATTGCATGTTCATTTGGCAAATCTGTCACTGCTCCTGGCTACTCGCTCTCTCCTTTTTTAATGCAAGTATTTCTCTGCATGGATTTCTTTACTTCATGATCTTCTCTTGTGTATTGTGTTTTCTCTTTGAAATCATAGCTCGGGAGTTGTTTATGCTTCAGAGATTTTTAAAACAAGGTTACATTTTAATGTAAATGCATTTAAATTGAACCACTTGTTTTAATGATGTGAAATGGCTCAACAATGTTCCCATGACCTGTTTTTATACCTTTTGATATTCTATGTGACATCCAATAAGCTGGACAGATAACAGCAGAAGTCTTGGCATCGGACTACCACTGCCACTATGATGCTGAGTCTGGTGTCAGCAGTGAAGATGACGGTGGGAAGCCACCGAGGAAGCTAGAGGTTGACACAAGTGGCGGTAAGGGCACATCATTACCTAGGAACGACCTTCAGAAATCCTCTGCAAAAAATAGCCTGTTTATACCCTTCTTATTCTTGTTTCTTCCTTCTGCCACCTTTTTTTTTTTCTTTTCAACTAATGAATAGCATGGCCAGAAGTAGTTGAAAGGCCCTAAGGGGAGCTTTACAACTAACATCAGGTAAAAATTTATTGTTCTTTTTTGAATATATTGATGTCTAGGATTAAATAAAAGAATGTTAGATTATACAATACCGGTAGGAATTTTCACATCATTCTTATTTCAATAGCCTGCCTCCCAGACAGTTGAACAGCTAGGTGAATTTGCCTTAACTGATCCAACTGGAGAGATGGAGAACGATGGTACATTTCACAGTGATTCATTTGAACTTTTCTTTCCCTTTTTTTTTTTTTTTTTTAACTAGGAAAGGATTCATTTCCATTAGCCTATGACCTGGCTCTTGGTGGTAAGTATTCCGTCTGCAAGAGTTCCAATTAGAGTGATTCAACAGACCATGACTCACATAAAACTGGTCAAACTTCCCATGTTCTTGAAATCACTAGGCTTTCTGGTATTTATTGAATGACTTTTAAAAAATGCCCTGATTTGAATATATTTATGTGTATGGGGGCAGGGAAAGATATTCATTTATTCATCATATGGTCACTTTATCCCACCTTCAATTTTAGTAATTGTCATCAAGCATTGTGAGGCATTTGAGATTTTACCCTTCTTTCAAGCAATAACTTAGCCAGCCACAGTTTTACGGATCATGGCAGAAGACATAAGACACCTGGGTCAGAGAAAAAGGACTTTATTGCTCATAGCAAATAGCAGTAACCAGAGTACCTGTATTTATGCTGGTTCCCTGAGCTCCAATTCTCCCTTGGCAACATGAAGGGGAGCAGGTAACACTTGATTGTGCAGTGGGCTGAGTTACAGCAGAGGGACCCTGAGCTTAGAGAACCCACATCTTTTATAGTGGGCATTCAACTAGAAGAATTCAGGTGCACCGTCCCAAATATTTATTCTTCAATGCAGAGATACTGGTTATTATTGGTCAAATGGAATTCAAGCAAGAAAATCTAATTATTTGTAAGCAATGAAAGGTGTGCACAAGGAAGATTATTAGGGCTTTCTTTATGCCAGGAACTGTGCTAAGCATAAATTATCTCATTTACTGTCAAAGGATTCTGTGAGCACAGCATTTCTATTCCCATTTCATGGATAAGAAAATGAAAGATTAGAGAGGTGTTATTTCCCAAGTTTGTATAATTAGCAAATGGCAGAGCTGGCGTTTTTTACCCATGTTAGTCTGACTTCCAAGTACACACTCATTCCACTAAATCAAATTGCCACTGTTTGTGAATATTACTTGTTCTCTCATATTAAATATTTTTTCAAAAGCCCATGGGGTTACCATCAAAAAACATGTAATGTTTTTATACTAATATTTCTTAGAAAAGCTTCAGTTACTCTTTCTCCCTTGCTTGAGGAACGTCATATCTGGCTCCTTTATAAGTGTGTGTGTGTGTGTGTTCATATAATATCTCAGCTGGATACCATTAACACTTTCTCTCCTAGAATTTAGACATAGTATATTACTACATGGTGGCTAGGCAATTTTATTTCCCTGTTTCCCTGAATGTTCCTTAATTAATCCATAAATTTAGAAACCAGATTAGAAAAACAGAGGACTTTTTTTAATATACTTTCATGCAGGAATTTGAATAGCAGCAGATACACTATTAAAGAAACTTGACACACATTATTGTTTCCTATTGTTTCAATTTAATTTTGTTTCAAATCCGGTAATAATCTGTAACGAAATAAAATGGACCATATTCTCTCAGGTGAATTGGCTACATGTTCTGTGAACCAATATTTGATTCTATATTTCACTTTGGAAGCTTTTAGGTAAAAGTTAGGAAATAACTGCTGTGATAAGCAGAGGATAACTTGTAAAGTCAACCTCAGCCCTATTGATAGACCTGAAATTTTATTTTACCCCTTTGAAAGGAGACATCACAAATTACCTTCCAAACACATTTTAAGGGAAATGTAATATCAGCTATTATTGCTTTACCTCAAAATGGTTTATCATAGTAGCTGGCAAGAGACCGAGGAAACGCAACAAATGATAAGCATCTTTTGTGTTAGAAGAGGTAATGAAATGGTAAGACAGTCTTGGACGGGGTATAAAGTAGAGAAGTGAGTAAGATAAGGACTTCAGGCTTCTGACAGATTGTTGGTGATGATGTTGAGGGTAAGATGGCTAGCCAAGAAGGCAAGCAAGTGAAAAACAAATGAGGAACATCATACTTGCCTACTTTACAAGTTTTTTTTTTTAAGTTAGAGTTTGACATCTTGGTATGTTAACTAATTTTATAAAATCTAGTCTAGTGTTTTTTTTTTTTTAATAAATGAAAAAGAAGATTAAATTGATATAAATTATTAAGATGACCCTTTTCAAAGCTTCCAGCTCCCTAAGTCCTATTCTGCAGTTGGGAAATCGAAATGCTTTAGGTGTTTGGCATAACATGCCTTTTTTTACTTATTTTGCTTGCAACATATATATAACTTTATTTAATAATAAAAAAATCCACTTGTTGCTATTAAAAAATATCAAACCTATATTTATTGAACTATGAACTATGATAGCTTTTGCACCCAGGTTTGCCAGGAACTTATGGGTGAAAACTTGTACTTCAAGAAGAGTATTTAGGCTGAAAAGTGTCCCAGTCTACAAAGTCCTGTCTTGCTTTGTGATACTGTTTTGCCAAAGGCAAATTAGCTTCTGAACACAGGTGAGAGGTAATGCAAATTGGTGTCTTTAGTAAAAAGTCTTACCTTGAGCTACAAAGGTAAGACTTTTTACTAAAGACACCAATTTGTGATGACTAAATCTAGATATAGTAGCTTATCATGTGGGAGTGAGAATCATCAGTTCACACTGTATAATGATTGTGTTGCTAAAGGCCCATGTGAGTTCCAGAAAACATAGGCAGAAGAGAGACATATTATGCTGCTGCAGAAAATAATGATTTCAGGGCCAGGTGCAGTGGCTCACACCTGTAATCCCAACACTTTGGGAGTTTGAGACCCAAGAGTTGAAACCAGCCAGGGCAACATAGACAGACCCTGTCTCTACTAACAAAACAAAACAAAACAAATCAAAACAAAAAAATTAGCCTGGCCTAGTGGCATGCACCCATGGTCCCAGCTACTCAAGGGGCTGAGGCAGGAGGATTTTTGAGACCAGGAAATCAAGACTGAAGTGGGTCATGTTTACACCGCTGCCCTCCAGCCTGGGTGACACAGAGAGACCCTGCCTGAAAAAAAAAAAAAAAGAAACAGAAAAAGAGACAAATAAAATAATAATTTATTTGAAGATTAAATACTCACTATTTTTCTTATTGCATAATTTTTTCCATTCCACTTATTATTATTTCTAAGAAAGGAATCGTGTATGTATGTGAGAGAGAGAAAGAGGAAGCCAAGAGAAAGAGTGAGGTGGAGATTTTATTGATTCCAAGACATGGGGACATGATAATTTTTTTGCTTATTGCTGCTTATGTTAAACATCTCTGATGTTCAGCTTTTCTTTAATATCAATGTGTTCCTTAAATTGGAAGACATTTCTTTTCATAGTGAAAAACCATTATTAAGTCATGGTGCATGTTACAGTCAGCATCCTAGAATCAATGGAAAAAGTGTTTTATATATAATTCAATGGCCTTGTGATATCACATATAAATATCTCACACTGTAAATAAGTGTTATATAAGATTATAGTGTCTCCTCCCTTGTTCACTTGGATTAAAGTAACCTTGATTTCTAACCTCATTTTTATAGCGCCAAGAATGAATTTAGTGGTGGATGAAACAGCAGCAATTAACTCAAACAAGGAATCCCAGCAATTGGCCCAAGAAACATATACACTGGAGAAGAAAGGAGCAAAGGAGGAATATGAAGGGCCCCAGCACAGAGATGCTGACATAGTACAGGGAAAAGGGGAGGCAGCCCTGTGGGGAGAAGCAGGAGTTGTTCACAAGGCTCCCTTGAGGGCATGGAAGCCAACAGCAGAGCAGTCAGAGTTGGCAGAAGAGTTTACAGAAAAAGGGGAGATCCCTCCAGGCATAGAAAGGAGGGCAGAGGCAGCAGCAGAAGCAGAAGGGGCCAGAAGGCTGGGTGAAGCATGCTCAGATCCCGTAGGACAAGCAGCAGCAAAAGATACTATGGGTCTGAGTAAAGATAAGGCTCCCGAAAAGCAGGCTTTGATGCTCACAGTGCTTGAGACAGACAAGGCAGCTTTTGAAGGGGAACAGGGTTTGAAGAAGGCAGTGCTTGCAAATAAAGCAGCAACTCTGAACTCGGAGGATCTTCAGGAGGCAGCAGCCCTAAGAGAGGCAGCGACATCGGAGGAGGGAGAGGCTGAGGGTGGGGTGGCTGTGAATGATGTCAGGGAAAGTGAAGAGGAAGCATCCATAGACCTAGAGGACACGGGACCCATGGAGGACACAGCACCAAAGAGAGAGGATGGTTCTGAAGAGGCAATTCCTGGGGGAGAGGAACCAGCCAAAGAAAGAAAGGAGGTTATGAGAACAGAAACAGCCTTGAGCCCCGTCACAGGAGAGGCAGAGGCAAGCCGGATGCGGGTTTCAGAGGGCAGTCCTGAAGACCTTTGCCAGGAAGATGTGGAAGGGGAACAGATGGTGACTGAGGCAGAAGCTAATAGGGAAGATGATAGGAAAGAAATTTTACCCAAGGAATTAGATGTAGCAGGAGAGCGAAAGAAAGCTGAGAGGCCAAAAACACCTCTGAGGAAAACTGACTCTGAGAGAGAAGAGGTGACAAGGGTAAATGCACTCAAGGATGAAGACGCTTTTAAAGAAGAGCAAAAACTTAGAGCAGAAGAGGGGAAAACAGAGACGGAAGTAAGATCTGAGGAAGAGACAAAAGCCCCCCCAAATGAAATGGGATCTGATGCTGAGAACGAGGCACCTGTGGAGGCATCTGAGTTGTCTGACAATCCAGGGATTCTAGGAGAAGATTCACTAAAAGACACAGTGGTTCCCATATTTGAAGCAACGCCTGGATTTGAAAAGTCGCTGGAAAACATAACAGCTTTGAGGAAAGAAGGAGGAGGAGAAAGACTGAGTGAAGCCAGAGACACAAAGCACAAAGACAGAGAAGAGCTGTCGAGCAGGGAGAATAGGGCTCTGGAAGAGAGGCCCCGCCAGGTTGCAGAGGGGCCCTTGGCAGCTCCTGAAGGTGAGCCAGCAGGAAAGGTGCAGGCCCCTGAGGGGTTGATCCCAGCCACAGGCCAGGCAGAGGAGCTGGCAGCCAAAGATCACGACTCCTGCGCAGGACTGGAGGGGAGGGCTGAAGGACAAGGAGGAGCAGATGTCATGCTAAGGACCCAGGAAGCTGCTCCTGAGGAAGATCCCATGACGGCAGAAAAGTTCAGGCAGGAAGCGATGGGTGAGGACCCAGAGAAGGAAGAGGACAAAGAGTGTACTCTGGGGACAGAAGCGATGCGGGACAGGAACTCGGAAGGGGACGGGGCCGTGGAAGGCGGAGGAAACACAGAAAAGAATGAGGGCATGAGAGGAGGAAGGGTTGTGGCTGAGGAAGATCTACATGGAGGTAGGGAAACGGCAGAAACAGCTGCAGAGGAGAGGGAGGTGTTGGCAGGTTCGGAGACAGCTGAGGAGAAAACAATAACAAATAAAGCCTCCCCCTTTTCAGATGTTGCTGAGGAAGAAACCTGGCACCAAAAGGATGAGTTAGTAGGAAAAACAGCAGCTGCAGGGAGGGTGGTGGTAGAGGAATTAGCACGGAATGAGGAGGAAGTGCCTGCAGTAGAGGAGATGACAGTGACATGTACAACAGAGACTGGGGTGGGCACTCCACGAGTCCTGGAAGGCAAGACCTCAGGGCTAGGACAGGAGCAAGAAGGAGGGTCAGAGGGCCAGGAGGCAGCCACTGGGAGAGGCGATGGGAGGCAGGAGTCGGGAGCAGCTGAAAAATTCCGATTAGGATTATCACGGGAGGGAGCGAGGGAAGTGAGTCCAGAGAGTCTACAGACGATGGCAGCACTTCCTGTGAAGCCTGATTTCACTGCAACCCAAGAGAAGCAACAGCATATGGTGCAAGGAGAAAGCGAGACTGCAGATGTTTCTCCCCAAAACATGCAGGCCTAAGAGACTTGCTGGCAGACGGTGAGTTTAAGCCTGATGTGTTTGTAGAATTAAATAGCAGCCCTGCGGTGGGTCTCCTCCCCTTGGGGCTGGCTTGTCCCTTTATTGGTGTTTGTGCACATATAAACACACAGGCTTCAATTCTGTGTCACTTAGCCCTGAGCCTGTCAGGAAAGGGGCTGGAAAAGATGAAGGAGGGGCCAAAGCACACACAGGAGCCACTGCTCTTCCCGGTGTGACAAGTCATACTCAGTCTTTGCAAGGCAGCTCCCTCGAGTAGTGAGATCTGTGTCTCCCGGATAGGACCCCAAAGACAAAATGCGGAGGACAATGTGCCACAAAAGACAGACCATAAAAGTAAAGAATCAAACTCTATCTCACAATTCATTTCCACCTTAGTGTTTTAAAGGATGAGATGAAGGTTGTTTGTAATCATTTGCCTTTAAGTGGGCCCTATGCTTTCATTACTACAGTTTTGCAAAGTTTAATACATTTCATTTTTACATATATAAAATATAAGCGTTCTATATTTAATATTTTAAGTATATAAAATATTTTACATTCTATATGTAAAATATTTAAATATATCAATCTTGAAGAGTGGAACTAAAGACTAAAATTATTTTTTTGCATATTCTGCTATTTCCTTAATGCCCTCACATTCTTAGTGTCCAGTTTCTACTATTGTGAGTGATTTTATCCTGTTACTACTACCCTTTTTATTGTTTTTCAGAATAATTTAAAGATGTCTTCTGGAAGATGTAAAGAGTGGAGAAAGATTCACCCAAGCATCTCACCAGGATTCTTGATTTTTTCTCTCTCTTCTTTTTAGTTGCTGGTTGCGCTTGTCTGAGATGATTCCCAATCTGTCAGCCCTGGTCAGTAGCTCAGTAAGCACCTTGAGAATAGCTCAAGTGGATCTGTAGGACCCTTATTAGGAGCAGTGGTTCCTCAGAGAGAAACTTGTGAGGCTGTTACACATTCTACACACCTAACATTTTCAAATGAAAATGATAATTTTCAAATGTTTGACTTTTACCAAAGATCACTGGAAGGCCCAGTTTGTAATGTTAGGGGTTTGTTTAAAGTCGTTTTTATTTTACAATACAGAGCCCCAATCAATTCCACAATCTCAATTTCATACATGGGACTTTTACTTAAAATCTGTGGTTTGGGGCTTTAATGAATTGGCCTGTGAAAATGAGCTCTAAAGGTCCTCCCACGCACACTCAAAACTAAAATTGCTCCAAATCTCTAAGTTCTTCCAGCAAAAGATTTATTGGCATGTATATTCACTTATACTTAGAAATAGTCGTTCTTTTAATTTATGCCAGAATAACAAAGTGAAAATCTTATTTCAAAATGTTCTTTGTTTTTGTGTGTGTGTGTGTTTCTGTAGTTCTGCTTTCTGGGGTAGACTAGTAAAGGGGTAGCCTCCAGCATTTTGTCCCTGGGGCCTTATTTATAGGGCCACTCAGATTTAAATAAAAGTAGTAAATAATTTAGCTAAGTGGAATAAGTATAATAATTATAGCGGTAGGCATAGCATATCAGCATTATGCCAACATTCTAGACTCTTTAGTTGATGTTATTAAATGTAAAAGAAACTTGGATTAAATGGGTGTACTGTTCACCTTCCCAAGTTCTGTTATTTCAAACCTGTGAACTAACCTTGCAGTTCATTATAAATCAACAGTCGCAATTGCATTCTGAATTACTCCCTGATATTATTTTCTAGTTGTGTATCAGCCTGCCTCCTAGGGGTTTTCAGTTCCTTGAAGACATAACCAGTGCCCCAGAGGGCATGTATTTATCTACCATTTCTCTATGTAAGAAGGTAAAAAAAATTTCCTTAAGCAGTGATTTTCCAGCAAGAATATACATTAGATTTTCATAGGACACTTTTATAAATGACTCAACCCTTTTACCCACCCCAGAGATTCAGATTTAATTCATTTTAGATGGATCTATGCATCAGTATATCTATTTTTAACTTTTCACTTGATTCTTCTATGTAGCCAAGGTTGAGAACCACTGCTCTAAATCATCATATAATCCATGCTGGCCACACTACACTCAAGGTCCCTAGGGACCAGTCATATTATCATAATAAGTATTTTCCATTTTAATGTGTAATGGAGTCATTCAATGATCAAAAATACACTGGGCCAGATAGTAGACTGGTCCCTTGATCAGAAGGATCAGCACACCAGCATTACCTGGAAATTGTTCCAAGCCTCTGTCTCCTACCTACTAAATTAGAAACTCTTGGTTGGGTCCAGTAACCCATAGCTTAACAAGTCCTCCAGGTAATACTGATGTACACTGATGTCTGAAAACTGCTGTCATGGACTATTGATTGTATTGAGGATTAGTCTCAGTTGGAAAGTCAACTACAGAGGCATTTTGAACTTTCTTTCTTGGCCTCTCTATGTCTATCTTTTCCTGTCTTTTCATTTATCTGTCTCTTTCTCTAGTAAATGGCACTCAATATAAAAGTGGTAAAGTCAATCTTAAACTTATTTTTATTATGATTTTATGGATACATGCACGAAGTCCCTCTGCCCTACTCCCTATTAAAGGATATTACTCACTGCACATCATAAATCTCCATCATCTGTCTTAAAGTTTTATGAGTAGATTTCAACTACATTATATTCAAGTTCATTTATTCCTGAGCTGTATTACTGTGGAGCTCTAACAGTATTTGTTTCCTGATTTCAACCTCAATGCTACAGAGCACTTTGAATACGTCGCACCTTATGGGAAAGATAGTAAACTTATTAATCCCTTTGAAAAATTAGTTTTGTACAATGTGCTAAGTGGTAATTGCTTTGGATTACTTTTATATTTAACATACTCCATCAAAACATCCCATAACATAATTCTACAATCTGCATGTGAATTTGACTGTGAAATTCAGTATTGTGATATTTTGAATAAGTTAATTCTTTCTCTGCAAATGCTATGCTGATAAAATTACTTGTATGTTCACCTGAAATGATTTGTTTCCTGTTTCTTCATTATTAAAACATAAATCAATCATACATTTACAGATACATGTGAATGGTTCTTTGTAAATAAGACTCAACTTTTAAAATCTCTGTGTTCTTGCCTTACAATATTTGAACTCCACAGAGCAGAGAAGAAAGAATTAGTTTCACTGGGCTGTATTTTTGCGTACAGTATATGATGTATTTATACTGACTGTCTACACTCACATGAGATAATGTCAGGGAGAAAAATTATTATCGCCTATCACCATTTTATAGGTAACTGAACAAAAGCTCAATAAAGTTAAATGGCTTGTCTAAAAATCAGTCAATCTCAGGTCATCTGACAGAAAATTTGGACTTTTTCTTATCATATACACGACTTCTAAGAAGAGGTATCTTAAATAGATACTAAGATACTGTATGTGAACATCTACATGTTTTTGTTTACCTGTAGAAGGGAAAAATTTAAACTTTCTCAATATATCCTCTATCAGTGAGAAGGCAGTTATATTTCCAGCTAATGTCAATCAAAGAACAAAGGAGATTATTAAAATAGTTCAAAAGAAAAATAGGCAATCAAAGGAAATGTAGGTAGAATTAGGTTTTCTGCTTGAACTTCTTGAGTTAAGCCTTTTCTAAGAGTGTTGTAAATTTAAAGTACAGTTGAGTTCCTTAATCCTTCTAAGATCAGTAATTTTGCCAGAATTATTGCCTTTGGAAAAATGATTGTTTGAGAAAAGAAAAGAAAGCCTTAAGGAAGATTCATCTAGTAAGTGAAATATTCCAACAGACTCAAGGACAGCCCAGAAGAGGCCGCTTCTGACCTTGGGTAATATTTCCTCTCTGTTTTCTGTACCATTTGATTATGTCATTTAAAAAATAAGTTCCTGACACCATGGCCAGCAGCAAGAGGTACAAAAGAACAAGGAATAAATACAGCTGGAATTCTTTAAAAGTTGCTCTCAATTTCACCCCTCTTTTTTTTCCTTTGCTTTTTTGTTCTTTATGCTAATAGCATACCCTGTGACAGGGAAACTAAGCTCTTCAAAATAACTGGAAACTAAATCTGTAAGATAAAATGCTGAAATTTGAGAATGCACATGCCTTTTGTAATTTTTTCCAGAAGGCTCAAGCTATTTAATAATATGTGGGACTCAACAGTATTTTGGAAAGTTGAAATACTCTCATTTTTAATTAGGGAAAATGCAGTACACAGAAGATTCTTGGGACAGAGATGCTGGTGTCTAAGTCTTGCTGCTTTGTCATATGTTTCCTGGTCTTTATTAAATATCTATTTATAATTAAATATTATATTAGGGAACCAAAAATTATGTGAGAAATCTCACAGTTGTTCAGGAGATTGGTGCTAATGAGACACAGAGACTTTCAAACTGGTGTAAATGTACCTCCCAGGGAAGATGAAACTTTTCATGGGATTCACTGGCAAGGCTAGTTTGCAGATGCTTAACCTCCATATGCACTTTATCTTAAAATGGACTTGAGAACTAGCCTGCAGTCAAAGTTTTTGTCAGACCCCCACGTCTTTTCACAATAGAGACCAACTCTTCATTCACTTACCAAGTTTACTGTGATGCAATGACTCCTAGAAAGACACAAATCAGACAAAGGAACAATGTGAAATATGGCATAGGGGAAGGACTTTCCTTCCTGGAAATGACTGGGTAACAAATCTTTCTGCAAATCGGGTGGTTTTCAACTCTTTGTTTACAACAAAATTAAATGAGGATGTGATTGAATTGCCAACTGATAAATCATTGAAATATTTTTGGTATATTATCAGCCTGTAAATTTTGCCAAATCAGAAGGAGTTCAAATCGGAGCATTGTTGTACAATATAACAAAGTGACTTCCATTCCCATCCACTTATTTATGTGACATGCATAATTACTATATTTTTATATCTATGAAAATGAAACCAAAAGTGGAATAGAACTGATGTTGAACACTGTTATTTCAGCAGTAAATAATATTTGTTCACAGACATACAAACAAATTAAAAATAGAAATCACTATCTTAGATGCATTTTTACTTTTACCTTTTATGTGTAATATTTGCCAAAATTTATGGTATGAATGTTGTTTTGATCAAATGTGTATTACTAATAATTGCAATGATAGCTCAGTCCAGGCGATATTTAGCACATAGAGTCTTATGGTCACAAGAAATTTTTTAAATTAAAATTTAATTTACGTAATAATTTAATGGCAGATAATTATGACAGGCTGAGAAGTAAAAGACTTTTAAGTATAAAAATATACTGAAGTAGCATACAAATCTGTGGCAAAGTGGAATGGAAATGTAAGTTTAAGAAAATAAAAAAAATGAGACTTTCTAACACTAAAGAAGAGCTTAGCCACGTACTTTTGAAAATGGATGTCTTAGGTCAGGTTCCCCCAAAACACTCTGGGTTAGAGGTTCATGTGCAGAAGGTTTATTGGGGCATGCCCTGGAAACAACACTGTGGAGAACTGAAAAAGCAGAAATGGGCCAAGATACAAGATAGATAGAGATGTAGTTGCCACAGAGGCGCAACTCCTCAAAGGGGAGCTCTCAAGGTGGGATGGTCAAATGCAGATGAGAGACCAGGCCTCTAAGTCCCCACAATAGGACAGTCGCTTGATGTTGGCTTCCTACTCAGGAGCAAGCATAATCTTGGACTGGGTGGTCCCTTCAGTCAAAAGCAATTCCTGTGGAGAAACTCAGATAGCATACCCTACCCCAGGCTGCTGGAGGCCGATCGTGTCCACTGTGAAGAGACTATCAGGGTGGCACCCCACTGCATCCATGACATGGATAAAGGTGATATGGAATTGCTATGGCATTTTCATTTCTTTGGATACATGTAGAAAAGAGATACAACCATTTCATCTTAAGATGTCTTGTTTTATAAAATGATAGAAGTCACATCTGTAACTACTTAAATATATAAAAATGTTTACATGTCAATATAAAAATATATGAAGGGATATTGTTTTTCAAAACCCTTTCAGAGGTATGTGAACAGAAATATTGGCAGTCCACTAGCGTAAAGGACAAGATGAATAGCTGAGGGCCATGTTTCTCGTGGCCTGGCAGTCATCCAGAGTTAGTAGCCAAAATTTTGATTAATGTACAAAATTTGTTTTGTCTATATACTATTAAAGTGATGTCTGCCAGTAAAATAAATGAGTGGGTCATCCAGCTTGGTGTTGCTACAAGGAAGAAGAGTCCTAGCATAACGTCTAGCTGTTTCTAGGAAAGGAAGTGTGCCCCTCTAGTGTGTCTGAGTACACCATCAGGGCATGATATGGTTTGGTTCTATGTCCCCACCCAAATCTCCTCTCTAATTGTAATCCCCACATGTTGAAGGTGGGGCCTGGTGGGAGGTTATTGGATCATGGGAGTGGTTTCTAATGGTTTAGCACCATTGCCCTAATGCTGTCTCGTAATGAGTTCCCATGAGATCTGATAGTTTAAAAGTGTGTGGCAGCTTTCCCCTTGCTTTCTCTCTCTCCTGCCACCATGTAAGATGTACCTTGCTTCCTCTTCACCTTCTGCCATGATTGTACATTTCCTGAGGCTTCCCCAGTCACGCAGAACTGTGAGTCAATTAAACCTCATTTCCTTATAAATTACCCCGTCTCAGGTAGTAGTTTATATCGTGTGTAAAAGGACTAATACAAGGCAGTTAACAGTTGTATTCAAACAAAATCTCACTGCTAATGAACAGGGATTAGCTAACTTTTCCTGTAAAGAACCAGGTGGTAAATATTAAATCTTTTAGGCTTTGTGGGATATAAAGTTGCAAATATTAGGATGAAAGTTGCCATAGACAATACTTACAAGAATTGGAATTGGTATGGGTATGGGTGTGTTCCAATAAAACTTTATTTACAAAGAGAGGCAAAGTGTCAGATTTGGCCTGAGGATTGTGCCCTGCAGACCTCTTCTAAAGTGCTTTCAACTTAATAAATAGTTCTGTAACTATGAAGAATAATCTTCACTCTGCCACAGAAATTTTAATTTTCAAAATGTGCCTTAAACACAAATATTTGGAAACAACTAAAGTAAGGAACTAATGACCTTTAATCATTCAGGGGAATGGATGATTTATTAGAATTTGCCTCTCTTTTTAAGATTATTATTTTAAAAACTTCATTTTAGTCACGTTTTCAATCCTTCCTTTCCATTCCCATCTTCTCTGTTGTATCTGTTAGAATGCAAATGTGAGATGTTGTGAAGAAGGGAAAAATAACTTCAGAATTCTGACAATTACATTTCATGTTAACACAGGTAGATTTGTTCTTCAATAGAGCAGTATTTGCCCCATGAGAGAAGAGATGTGATCTGTTCTGGTCCACGTGCAATCCCCTGTGTGAAGAACAGTGTCTGGCAACAGTGTATGCTCAATAAATATATGGAAATGAATGAATACCTGAAATAACATCCAGACTGGGGGAACATTGTTATATGTTGTTCTAAACATTTTTAAGGCCAGATTTGAGTGATGCTGATAGGATGCATGGAGTATCTGAGTTTGTTGATTGAAGAGAAAAACTAGTAATTTTCATAATACATTACAGTTGGTAGGGACATTAGATATCACACACTCTACCTGTTCCCCTTTATGTATCAGATTGAGAAAGCAGAGGCCCAGAGGGTCTGAGGAGTGGGTTACACATTGATTAGGGACAAAAACAGAACTGGAACTTCTATCTTTAGTCTAGAGCTTGTTTCACTTCAAAATGCTGTTTCTCATTAGTCAGATTTTCTTTTCAGAGACGCAGAATCCTAATTTCTAATCAAATTTACTCTCTAAAACTCAGTGGGTTTTTTTTGTTTGTTTGCTTTTTGTTTTTTTTTTTTTTAGAACAGCTAATTTAGTTCTTGCTTTGCAAACATGGAAATCCAAGTTTTCAAATGCAGTATAAGGCGAAACATTTTGGTTGTCTGGATCTTAGAGGTCACTGAAATTAGTCATTGCCCTTTTATCATCCCCACTGAGACTGTCAAGGTCAGTTAGAGAGAGACAGTGGTTATTTAGCACACATACATACACACA